TAGGCTGTATGCTATGACACCTGTGCCATTCCAGTTGGAAAAATAAAACTACTACTTCTGTAACAGGTTCATTGAGAGTGCCGCATACCCTGGCCTGCACCATAGTTAAAGCCGACACAACATATCCTGTTTTTACATTCAGGTCTATCAAATGTCATCCTTGTACTCACACCCTTCTCTCGCATATCCTCTTTCGCACAGTCCATTCAAGTCTTTTAGGTTATCTCTTTCTCATGCCAATCAAAATGTATTAGCATTAAATTATAATGTATAATTCGCATCACGTTTTATTTATTTATTTAAGATGGCTGGCATAATAAACGGTGACTGTAAATCGTGGCCAATAAAGTCGAGCGGTCGCTCATAAAAAAACGCTCAAGGTGTAACTTAACCTTAAAAAAAAAGTAATACAATTTACACGTATTTGTCACGTTTTGAAGTTTAAGTTAAATAATAATATAGAAAACAATGTTATTAACAATAGTATAATAGTTGGTTTATAAATTTTTTTAACGCCTTTTATTTATGTAGGTATTGTTAAAACTATATTCATGAATGCACTGCCTGTTGCAATGCTGGTAGCCTTGTAAAATACGAGCGTGCCGGATATTGAACCTTTTTGTTAATAATCATAGTTTACATGAGCCGCTATTCATAATATTAGCTTATTATTAGGTTATTGATATAATATGATATGAATATGATGAATATGAATAGAAAATTTAATTAAGCAAATAATGGCATCTTCTCTTTGATATGTATTAAAATCAGATGAATAATTTTATTCTTTCAAAGAGAATGTATTTTCCGGCTTGAAGGATATAAAAACAAAGGAAGAAAGATTGGGAATTGAGCAGCTAGAAAATAATTATTTATTTTATCTATTTATCTAGTTGCACCAACAAAGTTATCATCAATATAAAAACATCGAAAAATTTACAAGAAGTATGTATGTACATGACAAATGTCACCTTAATTAAAGGTACAATCCACAGTGCAATAGGCAGTTGACAACATCTTGAAACTAAAAAATAAGAATAACTGAATAAAAAATAGAATGAAACATTATAAAAATTATGAAATCCAGATTATTACATTTTCACTAACTAACAAAAAAATTAAAAACTGCACTTCGTTATTGAAAAAAATAAGAATAATACATTAACATTAATTTTGATCGGGTTATATTTATTTGGGAAATAATCCACGCCAGATTTTTCCTGTGCGTTATAATACAATCAGAAAACATCAATTTCATGATTTACAACTAGTTCAGTTCAATTATTATCAGAGAGCATTAGGCATAATTAAAAAATTCCATTGCTCGATTATTTTTCCTTCCTGTTCACTGGTAGCCTAAGAGACTATTCCAGTTACGCCCTGACGAGTAGATGAGCTCACGTGCTCAATCTGAGAATTTTCTAACACTAGCCCTAGCAAGAGCAGCGCTTCGCAGAATCTACCACCGGATCGGAACCTCGACCCACTGAAAAGATCCGGCGAGAAACTCAGCGGGCTATTGCAGCGGCGTTTAGTATTATATGCACCCACTTTTGCTGCTAATGATCTTGTCACACTGATGTCCCTTTGGTCCACCCACTTCCTTCAGCGCTTATCCGCACTAGGCGTGGGTACATTACCTCGCGTGAACATAAAAACGGTTTATGTGTACACACACACTATACATAGTTACTTTAGACTTTTACCTCCAACTATGTAACTCATATAATAAACCTTCACTTTCCAACTTACTCTCCGATCGATAAGGACAAATCAAAACACAACCTGGAAACGAGTTTCGCTAACCTCACTCACTACGACACCGTCAAAAAACAGAGGAAAACGCCATTAGCGGAATATTCTAAAAAACTTAACTGTTAACATTATTTTATTAAGTTTTTCAAAACATTTACTTTGACAAAACGTTTATTTTAACACAATAAAAATGAATCATTAGGTATTCCATTGTGACGTCACAAGTCCAAACTCCGTTGCGGTAAGTAACACATCCGTATCTCATTGTTCACTATAGACTTCGACCGATCCAAGACTGAAAGTTTATTAAACATTTCTCCGTGTTTGTAAAGTTTACTGCCCAAGAGTTGTACGGACTTTGTGGGTAAATGTAGGCTCAAACCATGGTCTACCAGTAGCTAAGTTTACATTCTTACCCAGCGGAAAACATTATCTGTAGAGAATTTGTCTTTGTAAGGAACGCGCACGAGCTGTCGGCTCAGTGTATCATTATTCACAAATAGTATGTAGCAGTACATAGAATAATAATTTTATTCTACACAAAAGAACATCTTTCACGGAACAAAAATATCTACATTGCTGCGGATAGTCACGTCCTTAGCTTGTCTGAATTTACTGAAAAGCAATATAAAAAAAAAATTATTATAACAAAATCATATAAAAGTACCTACATAAGATAGAAATCGTAAGGAGACTAATTGGGTAAATTATTCTAGGGGTCGACGAATAGGACAAAGAAATAGTAGGGTTTTGTTTATTGACACTTTATAATGCCCTATACATATTCAAAAACTTTATTTTTATTTTAATTCGTATCGAAGATTTTTCCTGTGTCAAATAACGGGGATCAAAATAAAGTTAACGGCTAGATCCCAATTTTACCATATTATTTAAAATATCGTCCGTTCAATGATGTTAGTATGAAACCCGGCCATAATCACTGATATCTCAAGATATAGAGTGATCAGTTTCTATTTTGTTTAGTAATTAATGTTCAATAAAAACCTATTCGTAAAGCATTTTGACAGAGAAGAAAATGCAACTGTTTTTTTAAAAATTGAGAATACTAATGCTTTTAAATAAAGAATTAATTGTTGGACTTATAGAAGAGAAAAAATATATGAAATTTGAAGAACGAAACCGCGAGTTACCGCCCCATCAGTCTCCTCCCGGCGATAGGCAAACTATACGAACGGCTCCTTCGTAAACGCCTCTGGGACTTCGTATCCGCGAACAAAATTCTGATAGACGAGCAGTTTGGATTCCGCGCCAGACACTCGTGCGTCCATCAAGTGCACCGCCTCACGGAGCACATCTTACTAGGGCTGAACAGGCNAAAAAAAAAAAAAAAAAAAAAAATATGAAATTTGACAAAATATATGAAATTTGCAAAGCTTTGAATTACGCGCCCAAATGTCGCACCAAGTATAATGTAAGTATAGTTACTGATATTATTTCAATAGATGTCACTGTAACTAACATAAATTATTATTTTAGAATTTTAAAGACATTACATTCCATACAGTAAATGCTTTCTTTTGTTTGACTACTAAATTTTAAAACGTGATTATCATTCAAATTTCATTCATAAATTAAACACTTCATGTGAAAATCACTCTTCGTAAACTGGTTGATTATTGATTGGTTAAGTTGGCAAAATCAAGTTTTTGTGTAATGTTGGTTGTTCTATTTTAATGTTGCAAGGAATACAGTCAAAGTTTGCACTTCAGGCAAAGTTCTGAAAACTAAGAACGCCCAAATATCATAATTTGAATCTTGAATTTTAAGAATCAAAAGTACACTTTTCAAGACACTGAGTTTTTATCCCATAAAATTAAAAAAAAAAGACTCCATGTCAAGTTTTATTTCACAATTTATTTTTTGCAAAATAAATGATAGCCATTTGTAATTTTTGAACAAACTAAATTGTTCATTACAGGTAAATTGTCTTGGAAATAGTTAATAAAATATATTAAGTGGAGTAAAGCAGCTCATGTAACTTTTGTTCTGGTTTATTTCATGCAAGTAGGCACACAATTATAATTGAGAGAATACATAGTAGCAGACTTCCAGCGAAGAAATAAAGATTAATATTATGATTTTGGACAACAGCTTTCTTGAGCCGCTGCGATGCCACTAATAGTTTCCAACATCCATTGGTCTTAATATCGTGATTTCATTTTCCGAATGTATTCTCATCTTAATGTCTAATAATGTATGTACATAAGAGAGCCGTTCGAATTGACGATAATCCCATTTTCACGAATCTTTTGGAACCTCTGGGTCTGCAGAGGGACTTCAGTTCCCTTTGCATTTTGTACCGTATGTTCCTACGAGAGTGCTCTGGGAGTCTTCTGAGGAATTATTTGAGTTGACACCATCATCTTGTTTTGACTATCGCACCGCCCCCCACCGGAGTAGAGTACATCCATACTACCAGGTGCCGCTGCGTTCACCACAGTGCGTTTCCAGAAATCATTTTTGTCACGTACTATCCGGCTTTGGAATGATCCACGGTTTTACCCGAGCGCTATGACATGTTCTTTTTCAAACGAGGCTTGTGGAGAGTATTAAGCGGTAGGCAACTGCTTGGCTCTACCCCTGGCATTAGTGACGTCAATGAGCGACGGTAACCACTTACTAATGTAATTAGATTAGTTGATTAAGATAGCAGTGCAACTCGATCCCCTGGCTATTCGACGGAAGGTCGCGGTTTCGAGTCCCACAACGGACAAATGCTTATGTGTTGTATATATATATTTAATACAGCGTCTGATTCCTACAGTACAGCAAATTCTAATTTGAGGCTCAACCAACCAAGTGAAATTTGACTTCCATTACTTACTATTTATAAGACAGTAAAGTGCTTCACTAACATTAAAGTGAAAGTAGAAATAATTCAATCTCCGCGGAATAGTAACTTTTGGGCATCAAAGGTTCCTGAGTTCTTTTCTGTATCACTGACAAGTTGTATCTAACTTTTTTTTGAAATGATTGGCTAAATTAAGTCATGAAAACTTAACAAACAAAGTTAATTTTGTATTTTTGATTCTTCTAAACCTGTGCGAAAACCCAATGAAGTACAAGTACAAGTTGTGGTTAAATACCTAATCTTTTTTGTTTTAATGCATCGAAGATTTTTTTCTCAAGGAAAACAGTCTACGTTATTTTCCCGAAATATTCTCTTGATTCCAACATGAGCTCTTTTACTGGCAACATTCTAAAAAGAAAGTGAAGTGAAAGAAATGAATTTACGAGAATAGGTCGCAAGTCGCATAGATTTTTGGTTGATTTCCTTTTCACTTTGCTTTCGTATTCTCTAAGATCTAATAAACTAGAGTTAATTTGTGTTTCTGATTATATTTTGATTCAACAATTCCGGTGCCGCTCTGCCGAAATCAGGATAAGTACGAAAGTGAACAGCATCTTATTGATTTTCTTCCCATGCATGGCATATGCTCACACCAGCCCGAATTCTTCTTATATCTAACAACGAATACATGATTTAGTTCCGAAACTACCCGTTTTGAGTAAAGAGTCACATAACCAGTGACATTTTATCTAATTTTCTGTAAACAAATCGAGTCAAAATGATGGCAAATCCGCTCGACTCTCTAAACCAGCCCACGCAAAATGGAAGTAAGTTGCAGCCGTGCAAGAATGAGTCTAAGACGAATTTGATAATCAATTATCTGCCGCAAACGATGACCCAGGAGGAAATTCGATCATTATTTTCGAGTGTCGGCGAAGTAGAAAGCTGCAAGTTAATAAGGGACAAGGTGACCGTGTTTCCGGATCATATTCTCAACGGTCAGAGTCTTGGATACGCTTTCGTCAACTATCACCGAGCTGAGGATGCAGAAAAGGCGGTGAATACACTCAATGGTCTCAGACTGCAGAACAAGATCATCAAAGTTTCATACGCACGTCCAAGCTCTGATGCGATTAAAGGTGCCAACCTCTACGTCTCCGGACTCCCGAAACACATGACTCAGCAAGAATTGGAGAAACTCTTCGGCCCCTACGGTACCATTATCAGCTCGCGCATTCTCCATGAGAACATGAATGTCGGTCAGTTGATGCAGGTAGCTCCAGAAGATCACTCTATCCAAGGTCCATCAAGAGGAGTCGCCTTCATCCGGTACGATCAAAGGTGTGAAGCAGAAGCAGCTATACGTGAGTTGAATGGCACTATTCCACCTGGTGGAACAACCCCAATGACTGTCAAGTGTGCAAACAACCCAAGCAATCAGAATAAGGTTTTGGCCCCCCTTACTGCATACCTGGCTCCAACTTCAACACGGCGCATCATAACCCCTGCAGGTAAAGCACTGCTAGCTATCAACAAAGGTCTCCAAAGATTTTCTCCTCTTTCCGATCCGCTCATTCAAGGTAATGCTTTAGGTGGATCAGGCTGGTGTATCTTCGTGTACAACATCGGGGCTGACACTGAGGAGAGTGTTCTGTGGCAACTTTTTGGGCCATTTGGTGCCGTCCAGAGTGTGAAAATAATTAGAGATCCCTCTACAAACAAGTGCAAAGGTTATGGTTTTGTTACTATGACCAATTATGATGAGGCTGTTGTTGCCATTCAATCCCTGAATGGCTATTCACTGAATGGTCAGGTCCTTCAGGTCAGCTTCAAGACCAACAAGAGTAAATCTTAAAGACTTTGAGAGTCTAGTCAATAAATTGTAGCTAATACAAAAATGTTGATCAACATCGTCATGGTTTGACATCAAATTATAATAGTACTGAGTAGGAAAACATTTTGACACTGTATGATGCGAATCATGACATGTAAAGTTCATCAGAAGTACAAAATATGATGCGTGTAATCATAATATTAATCCAATATTTATTTTACTTCATAATTTTGACAAACATTACCCAACAATGATTTGTATAAATGAGTTACATATAGCAATAAGAAGATTCCATTTAATAACTTTCATATTATGAATAGTAAAAAATCTATGAGATTTTATTACAATTTCACATTTAAAATTGCATAAATTAGTAACAAAATGATCTGATATAGAAAGTGAATGGTTCTCCAATTCATAAGACATACAAATGGTTTTTAATCATTTACAAATAAGCTGTAGAATACTCGAAATTTATGATTGTTAATCTTGAACTTTACTAAACTTATCACAAACTTAACTAATTTAATAGCCTAAAACATAGCCGAGTATGTAATATAAAGTACTAAAGTAAAAATGGTTGTAATAAGCCTAAAAATATTCAAATCAATATAAAACTGAGCAATATACTCAAAATAGTATAAGTAATAGACAACATAGTAATATATTCTACAAAAGAAATAATGAAACAAATCTTAATGCAATAATATAATTATATTTAATATCATATTATTATGATAGCTTATCAACAGTGCAATATAAAAGATTTTTTTACTTAAAGTAAAAATATATTCCCAGTGCAATTCAGATCCAGATTAAAATATGTAATTATTTTTTGGGTTATAACCAAAAGTGTATTTGGGTTACAACAATAAGTTTATTGGTTCATTGGTGACATGATTTTTTGATGCTATAAAAACACTAAGCGTAAATATGATACTTAGTTGTACTTAGGAGATAACCAAAGACATCAGCAATAAAACTGACTGATTTAATAAAAGAAAACTATGCACTAAGTGACTTATAAGAACACCATAAATTCTTCCATAAGTATTTTACCATATGATAAGCAAAGCCCCATACATTAAAAAGATAAATTTAAAATAGTTACTGGTATGAAAGAAATGATAATGCACAAAAAATATTTAAATACTAGATATTAAGAACTAGTTTTTTTACACGAGCATCAAATTAAAACTAAAATAGGCTTATTTTAGCCACTGGTGAGTAAGACGGAAAGTGGCTGTTATAATGTTAATAAAATATCAAAATAAGACATAAATAGTTTTTGGAATTCCAATTAAAGTTTAAAGCAAAAATATTATGTGGGCTGTTCCGGGCTTAGAAGACATTATCAAAGCAATAATATAATTTGATGCTCCTGTATAGCTCCTGCTAGCACACTAGCATAGAAAAATGTTCATTAAATCATCATTTTTATTCAAGAAAAGTAAAATCTACGGGTGACTTTTATAATGGTTCCCACTTAAAATACTTTAATCTGACATATGTGTGGCACCATGACATAACATCAAATATTGTATATTATTGATCAACATTTTAATTGTGACATACATCTTTTAATGCATCAGATTTGGGCACATAAATTATTTAAAATTTAAATGTATTTATATGTGAAAGTCAAATCAATAATTTAAAGAATGTAGGAGTATGTTGTGTTTGGAGGTAATTTTCTCATTAATTAAATAGGAAGATTCACAATGGACAAGGAGAAGAATAATTTAAGGAAAAATCAAGTCGAATCAAGCCTGACATGTGAGTTTGAGACTATGCAAAGATTATCTTGTTTTTATGCCAGCATGACCAGTAAGTACAATTCACTTGTGTACTAACATTGCAATATTTATAAAGAATACTCACTTCAAATATTGGATAAATATTAAACATTTATACCTCATTTGTAATTTTCTCATAAATATCATCCTACATTGTCTAATGTGAATCTAATACGTAAGTATCTTAACTCGCTAATAAAATTAATTTGACTTTCACCACATTATGATATTGTCTCTCTAATTATTAATTTCATTGTATAATCACTATTTATTATTATGATATAAGTAAATTTAAATAAAATTTGAAAAAAAAAAGTATGTTTCCATATAATTTCTAGAAACCATTGGGTTTGTTCATTTTGATGTTTGTATTTAACATATTCATAGTAGCATATGTAAGTAGTATTAAAATATTATTTATTTGTTTAGAAATCATTAATGCCAGTACGTCTTTTCGCCATTTTTTTATTGTAACAAAGAAAATGCTCGCCGGTTCATACCAGCAGCCTAGCAGCATATTTAATGGCTGAGGGAATTGTCGATGTTCATCCTAGACTAAGCCAATAAGAAAGGTGAAAGAAAAAATCAGATTAATTTTGTTACAAAAAAAAAAAGTGAAACACTAGTTCCAAATATTCTTTTAGTTTGTTATTCATAAATAGTAATTTATGTAATGCATAGTTAAATTATTAATAGTTAAATGCATATCATAATTGACTAAATGAGGCGAGATATATTCTCATGAAACTGTTAATAAACGATGCATTTCGAAAATAAGTTACTTATATTCTATTTATTTTTCTTCTATAAGCTTAAAATGTTGCATTACGAATTATTTATTTTTAAATATAAAAATAATAGAGAAGTACTTAAACTATGCGGAACTAGTCATTAAAAAAATTGCGCAACATATTTCTTTTAAGTACTTATGTTTAATGGCTAAGTATAAAAAAAAAAAATAGTGAAAAACTGTGTTCTTTAATTTATAAAAAAAAACCGTAGTTTAGATATTAATTTATGTTTGTGTGGTGTTTGGTTTAATAGTATTTATTGTAATACCCGAAGCACACGTTGCTTTCAATACTGTATTCAAAAAGGTATTTACAAGAGTTTGGCAGAGGCTTTATGGCCCAGGTGGACAGAATTAATCTTGTAGTTTCAACAGGTAAATATCAAGTACCTACTTAATTAAATGATCAGTCGATTTAAACTCCTATTGCCGGAGACTCGAAGGCGGCGATTCTATTTATCAAATAAAAAATTACACTAAAGCCATAAAAATCTGCCATATTCTTGTAATTAATATGTATTTTTTTTCCTTAAGAAATCCAAATCTTATTGAGAATTTTTCTTTAAAAATAATAATAATAATAATAGAAACGGATTTTTAGTAATTAACTTAATACAAATAAAAAAATTATGGTGTGTATGAAACTAGTCAATGGTAGAAATATACCTCTATATGTTACTGTTTGAAATGCTGATATTTTATGTAAGTTTCTAGACTTATTTGTATAAGTTTCCTGTTACAGTATGTTCGAACAAACCTGTGAAATATTAGTAAAAAGCAATGCCCTACGTAATTTTGCCTTTGGACAAGAAGCTTCCGTACCAAAAAATAGTTTTTATTCTATTTTTAACTTATCCAACATATGAGGAGTATAAATGCAAAAGCTCCTGCCACAAAGCATTGCAATCAAAGATTGATTATAAATGAGGCGAATACGCCCTTCAGATTTGATTGCTTCACGTATTTCAAGTACCCTGCCGCCAAGTTCAAGTGCAGCAATTTGGTATGGGCAGTTACAAAAATATGAAATTTGAATTAAATTTTCTTACATAAACGGCAAATCGGGGCTTATAGGCCACTTGCAATAAGATTGAACAATAATTATGATAAATTTGATTCAATCTGAGATTTTTTAACAAATACTTGACCTGCCCTAGAAGATATAGTTATCTCTAGAAAGAATACAAGATAATTCTTATAAGTATGGATTTTCATATGAAGTTCTAATTTCGCACAAGATTATCAGCCTATTTGTATATGTCATCACATTGTTTAGTCAGTTTTGTGTCGTCCTATGTGTATGTGAGTTTATAGTTAAATGTATGCTTGCTTTCCACCGATTACAAAATCTATATGTACACACCTGGCCCGTACAATGTTTTTTTTATTTTTATTTTGTATTTTCAAGTGTTATTTCAGCTCGCCATTTTTTTGCGTTCTAAAATTTCGGTATTTAGTGATACAAATAAAAATTTGTTTCAAAAGAAATTCAATTTAAACAAAAGTACATACCTCTACTAACTTTTTTTTTTAATATAGCGTTTATTTATCTGATTTTTTTCTTTTGTTTTGTACTAATTAATTTGTTATTTTTGGGCAGGTATGGGTAAGGTTTTGGCCTAGGATATAGGTAGATTTATAAGACAGAGTACAAATCGCCATGTATGAAGACGAGCGTTTATGCTTATACAATTAAAACTTTTGAAATGTCAACGAATGTAATCTGACGTAGGGAATAATTATATAGGAATTAAATATTGACCTTAGCAATAATACGTATAAAACAATGTTTTATTTACTTCCCCTGATTACTGCTTGTAGTAGAAGCTGGCAGATTAACTGCTCTTAAGATAAACAAGATATTTGTGATTCTATCAAACGATTGGCTTAAGGTTCACCTGATCATGAGCTGCAAGCCTACAAACAATGTGTATGCCTGTGTCGAATTAGAGACCTTGTGTCGAAGTCTCGATTGCATCAGAACAATGGCTCTCTTATCGCTCGTACCGGAACGTAGGGAGTCTAGCCCATGTAGCACCTAACCTAAACATCAGCCCGCTGTTTCTCGCCGGATCTTCTTAGCGGGTCGCAATTCCGATCCGGTAATACATTCGCGAAGCAGCTATTCTTGAGTTGTTAGGGTCTCCTTTGGAGGCGTTCGGGTAACTGTTGGGAAATCCCACCCCTCCTAGTTGAGCCCTTTCTCGCCCACCTGCCCTGGTAAAACTGGAAAAGCTTCCAGGCCACCAGTAATCTCTCAAACATAAAAAAAGCCCACGTAGCGCCCGTGTGCAATCATTACTCTTAACGCACTTCAGTAAGCGTCCAGTCAAAATGAAATAGATACAAGTGTAAGAGGTTACCACTGCGCTGACACCCTGCCCGCTATCTACCCGATTCCTGCCCACGCAGGAGCCAGTATCCGTCGACGCCCTAGACACGGATCCAATAACTCTCGCATTAGACGCCTTCAGCTGTAACACTAGGAGCAGGCTTAGGGACTCTGGTAACCGTACTCGTCGAACTCGCCAGAGTTCGATGTACAACCTAACTCACTTATCAGCTCGCAGTTTCTTGCCAGATCTTTTTAGCGGTTCACCATTTCGGTCCGGTGGTAGATTCATTTGCAAAACAGCTGCCCTTGAGTTCTTAGGTCTCCTCCGGAGGTACTCGGGCGGCTGTTAGCAAATTCCTTAGTTCCTGGTTGAGCCTTTGCTCGCCCACCTGTCCTGGTGAAACTGGAAAGGCCTCCGGCCACCTTTAATTTTTCAATCCATAAAAACCCTGCACCCTCAGTAAAGCCGCCTCTGGAATTTTATATTTAGGATTGAAGTAAGTAATCTTACGGAATCCCCGTGAGACTACAGGCGGTACACAAGCTTTTTGGATGGGCTGAGCACCAGAGTCTAACCATAAAAGCGTTCCACAATGCTTGGTAAGTGGTGCATATCAAGGACATCATCTTAACATAATATCATTTTATTATTGTAAAAACAGGAGAACGATCTCACTGCCCACCTGATAGTGAGTGGTTACCATCGCCCATGCACGTCAGCAATGCTGCAGGGGAGTGCTAAGCCGCTGATTACCATTAGGCTATGGCGCTGAAATAAAGTATCCTTGAAGGAATTCTTGGGAATTTCCAGCAGTGCAATGCTCCTTAACGAATTGATGTGTAAAGCTAATTTTTTTATAATGTTCGGAGTCTTCAACCATGAAGCGGTTCTTTACTTTTGGAAAATCTTGTGCTTTACAAGGCACAGATTCAGCCTTGCATGGAGCAGAAACCCATTTTTGTGTCCTATCCTGGATCACAAATACCAGCTGTTTCCATTTGACTCCATCCAGAAGAGTCGTGCGGGTTGCCGTAGTAGTAGAGATTTCAACGAACAGAAAACATACCAACTTTTTGGAAAAAGGTGATATTTTGACGGATGAATTTTCGATTGAAAATTAGAGTGCTTTTTCGATATTAATTCAAAATAAGGTGAAAAAATAAATATTTCTAATCAAATAAATTACAGCGTATTTGGGACATAAAAAGGTAAGTTTTCACCAAATTTTGTGAAGAAAGATTTTTTTTTGAAAAAGATAAAAATTAAAAACCAAAAACTTGGTTTTTTTATTTTTCACATACGTTTTGAGGTTATGTGAAAAAAGTGTAAATTCAAAAGTTTCAGATCTTTTTATTACCTACAACTTTGCGATTTGACTTTCTTCCATAGGACTTTTAGTTTTGCCGGAAATCGAGAAAAACCGTTTTTTATCCTTAAACCCCCATCCCCTTCCCGACCTCAGATCGCCCGTAAATTATATTTCCTTTCATTTTTATAATATCCCCCTCCTTTTCTAATGGGTTTCATCCTACTATTATTTTTTTTGGTTTTAAAAATTATCGACCCTGGTCTATAATGACTAAGATAAATTTGACTTTTGTAATTTTATTCTCAACCTTGTTTTGTTTTCCATATTCACGTAGGTATGTAGGTCTAAAATTTTCTTGTTACATAGGTACATCCTCAGATTATGAAAAGAATATTACGATAATATATATCGATCATTTTGTAGTTTTTAATGGTTTTTAAGTTGTCAAACGTCAAAAAATCGGTCAAGCTGGAAAGTGGAAGCATAGATTATACATTATTTTATTTTAAGTGGAACTGGGAGCGAAAAAGTGATATAAGTTAAAATGATATAAATCAAATTTTATTTACAGACTTGTTTAAATTGTGGTGATTTCTCAAATAATTAAACCTGTACTAAATACTGATCCATTCTAGTTTATTTGAACTTCGCAAATAGTTAATGGTAATGTTTATTTAACAAAAATATGTCTAGTCTTGTGTCATAACAATAGAAATGGAATCATTATCAAAACAAGAGCTAATATCTACCATAACAAAACAAGCTGATCAGATAAAACGATACGAATCACGTTTACGGGGTAAGTGTAATCTTTTTTATTTGGAATAGAAGGACAGTGTTTGGCCCGGAGGATTTGCTGCTTAACCGGGACTGATAAGCTCAAGGACTCTTTCCGAGACTTCGCGAGATTCTTAATAAACATAGTTTATTGAGAAAATGTGGAAGTGCTCTTGAACACCATTACAAAGGATTAATTCGAGAGCCATATGTTATGTGGCTAAAACCAATCCTGTAGTGCATTTACATAAAAGTAGATTTTCTAAATATATATATGAGAAATTTGAATTCATCTCAAAACACATTTTTTTTTTTTTGGCTCCGGCAGCAGATCAACTATAACTTCAACGTAGAAAAAAGTAATGATGTCATTTACCAGGAAAATTTTCATTTCCAGATGTAGTCACAGCTTACAAGGGCTTGGTTAAAGAGAAAGAAGCATTAGAGATCAGCTTGAAGGCACTCAACAAGACTGAAAACACTATAGATGGAAGTGAAGGTATGACATTCAGAGGTGTAGAATAGAGATGGGGAATTAAAATTTCTCACTTCTGTAGATATAAAAAAAATTGATATTATATTGTCTAAAAATACAATTTTTTTTTGGTCCGACAGTATAAATTCTTTTTTCGTGGGGTATATGCTCCTTAAATAGTCTGCAAATACAGAAACCACTAATAGTGGTACAAAGGATATTTGGTTGGATACCTAGATATTTAAATCCTTTTTATCAATGTGTATGTACCAGTAGACTTATTAGATCAACAGATAAGGAAATCTTGAGCTGTGAATATAGGAATTGGCTTGCATTTTTTAATCTGCGAATAGTCGAAATACGAATGAAGGAATCGGGAATAAGGATCTTTTACTGTATATGAGTTTCTATTTTAAATATAATATGCTAATAGTACAAGTAACCCAAATCACATAATGCATGGATTCTAAAATTTCATTCAATTTACAGATGATTCGGTCACAGCCCTCACTCTGTCTCTTTCTACCCTCACAGTGGAGAAAGCTCGCATGGAAGAAGCTTTCCAGGCAGACAAAAAAGTTACAAGGGATAAGGTACATGTGATTCCATGAATGTGCCTACAGCCAAAGAAAAATATCTGTTTATGCTTTTCTCAGAAATGCTATATATTCTAAGTTGCTATTAGATTAGTGCTGTAGTTCTTTAGCTTACCAAAAAGGATTTATTTTCAAGACGTATGTCATACTAGTGTTACAAATAATAAGTTAATGTCATACAAATCTCAAGTACAAGTTTACTAGATGTTTTAAAGTTTCATTCTACTCTAGGCAGAAGGGCTATCAGCTCCTTTGATCATTACCATTTTTAGTGGACCCAAGCAATGCATTATTAGGTGCAGGAGTATATGTATTGTACAATGAAGATATGATTATTGTATGTTCTTTGATTTTCACGAGTCATAGACATAATTAAAAAAAAATTATGGTTTAATCGAACTTGTTTTATCGTCATTGTATTGTTTCTGATGTATGAGATACTTTACAGTTTTAGTGGTCATTAAAATGATTATTTGTTTTTTATTATACAAAATGAAATTTTAGCTAATATTGAGTGTGAATATTATTACAGTATGAGAACATGTTAGCGGCACTGAGAGAAGAGAATAAAATGCTATCGCAGCAACATTTGATGGAGGTTAACAGTCTGAAAGCCAAGATAGCCTATGAGATACAAGAGAGGGAGAAGGAGAGAGCTGATCCTGTTGCTATGATGAAGTAAGCATACATTTCTTATACAGAATATCATGTGATTCTATGACATAAAGGCTATTTTTCAAGTAAACTAGCGCATTTCAAATAGAAAATAAATATTTAAAACTAGAGACTCGCCCTCGCTTCGCTTCGGAAACTGTAATTTATTATTGATTTCTCCATTATTTAATGGATGTTATTATACATATAAACCTTCCTCTTCAATCACTCTATTAAAAAAAAGCCGCATCAAAATCCGTTGCGTAGTTTTAAAGATTTAAGCATACATAGGGATATAGGGACAGAGAAAGCGACTTTGTTATCTTTTTGTTCGATTAAAATTAGTAATTTATTGATAGTAAGATGTGTTTTTGGGTAGGCTCTGTGTATATTGCTTTGATTTTCAGCTCAAACTATCTCAACAGATAGAAGCTACGTTCATATTGCGATATATTATGGTTGAGGTTTATGTGCATAACACTTGTTCCACTCTTTAAGCTGGAATAAGGTGAATTTAAATGTTTTCAGTCGTGTATGTTTAAAAGTATATAATTTAGCTTTCCTTTGTATGACATTCCAGAGAGTTGCATTTGAAATTGAACAGCGAAAGGAAGACAAAAGAGAAATTAGAAGACCGAGTAGTTAATTCAACTGAAGCTCAAGGTCAGTGACTCTCAGTAGACTTTCTGTATACAGGAAGTCATTTTTAAAAAAGACACGAAAAGCATATATACTTTCTGTATATAGAAAGTCTAGACTATTAATTATGTATATTGAAAGTCTACACGATGACTGAGATGCTTCTTATAAGAAGCAAACTTTAATTCTTTGTATTGGGCTTCCACTTCCTCTACTTCAGAGTGCATTTTCCATTTTACATTCATCATCATCATCATCATCATCATCATCATCAGCAGCCTGTATCTCTCCACTGCTGGATGTAGGCCTCTCCCATAGTCCGCCACAATGAACGATCCTCCGCCTTCCGCATCCAATCTTTCCCAGCATATCGCCGCAAGTCATCAGTTCAACGGGCAAGGGGACGCCCAACGTTGTGTTTACCGGTACGCGGTCTCTAGTCCAGAAGAGACGTCCATTTTACATTAGTATTTTATTTTTGACTTGACAACATCTTATAATTCGATGGAGCCGGCTGCACGCACGAAAAAAACATGACTCATTGCGGCGTTCCATTTAAGACTTGAAGTGCAAGCGAGAGCGCGCAACGAGCGACAAAGAGGCACAATCGGCCTCCGCGTTCGGCAGCGTTCGACATCTGTCTCTCTCCTACTTGAGTGAGCGATGCATCCGCGTGGACAGCTGCTATACAATAGTACATTTACATGTTTTCGTCAAGTATAAAGTTCAGTGAAAAGTGAATGTGGTGTCAATTGTCCATACAAAATAACTATCAAACAAATAAAATTAAAATTTTCTTTTGAAAAATGAAACCATTCCATCGGTATTTTCTTATGACGTTGTCACGTTCAACTATCGTCAGTAAACCGACTTTACCGACAACCGATTTTTTGTTCTTAGCATCACAAGCCGAGCTAGAGAAGCGAGTTAGAGATCTGAGCAGTTCTTTGGAGGCAGCCCAAAGGAGACTGCAGCGTGCCGAAGCCCGGACTGTTGAGACTCCAGCACAATTAGTCAGGCTTCAGCAAAAATTGGCGCTGATCGAGCAATCACATTCAGTCGCTATCAGAGAAGTAAGTTATATACAGGGTGCTTTTTTAAAAGGTTAAAAATTTTTAGTTAAACATCCGGTAAATCATTTTTTACTGGTGGTAGGACCTCTTGTGAGTCCGCACGGGTAGGTACCACCGCCCCGCCTATTTTTGCCATGAAGCAGTAATGCGTTTCGGTTTGAAGGGTGGGGCAACCGTTGTAACTATACTTGAGACCTAAGAACTTATATCTCTATGGGCTCCAGTAACCACTTAACACCAGCTGTGAGATCGTCCACCCATCTAAGCAATAAAAAAAAATCTGCATACTAACTTAGTCACTTTGTGAAACAAGTTCCCAGAAAAATTTAAGACTATTTCTATAAAAATATACAGCTAACTTTAGATTTTGAAGATTTGAAATTAATACATTAGCAAAATTTATAGGCTTCTATCTATGAATGCATGTAAATTAGTTCATGAGGGCTCATGTTTTCCTGCTAACAATCCCGAGACTGTACTTGAGTTTCAAAGTCACTGGCCCATGTATCAATAAAACATCACCTCCGGCAACTATCTTTTGTGGATAATAATAATAGTCCGATATTAAAAAATACAATGAAATACAATGCGTTTCGGTTTGAAGGGCGGGGATGCCGTTGTAACTATACTGAGACCTTAGAACTTATGATTGATATCTGATTTCGTGACCGTGAGATATCGTGATATCTCAAGGTTGGTGGCGCATTTACGTGGTAGATGTCTATGGGCTCCAGTAACCACTTAACACTAAGCGGTCTGTGAGCTCGTCCATCTATCTAAGCATTAAAAATTAGTTTAGCATTAGTTGATCTGGATCACTAGGTCATTTTCTTATCCTTGGGCCCGCGGTCTGCTCACAACACCATGCAGACCGTTGAGTCTCACATACCCCGCGCGCTCCTTTTGCGCGGGGACCTCGTAGGAGGTTCGGCCCTCTACCCGAAAAAGGTCATTTTCTTAATTTTTATCAGGGTTTGCTGTTTTTAGTGTCTTTTTTTTTAAACTATATTTATTGTTTCATATAAAAATCAAGGAACAAATAAAAGCGAAAAGGGCCGAAGAATCTGCCAGGAAGATCTGTGCCCGTCAAGAAGAAAGAGTCGCGCTGCTAGAAGGAAAACTAGCTGAACTCTCAGAGACTATAGGACAGTACGATTTGAGGAGACGCCGCGACCAACAGCTGATACAGCAACTTAGAGATTCTATAAACGGGAGGCTGCTTGAGAAGATCGCTCCGGCTACGATTGGTAACTGGTCACTGATCATTTTAGTCCGTGTTGTTATGAGTACTGTTTTTTACCTTGAGGCATTTTTTTATAAATTTAAATGGTTAAAGAAATACAATAGCACTGCCCTATTTCTTCGAACGAATTTACTACCGGTCGAGTCGTGCGCTAATTACTTAAAAAAATGAAAAATTCAAATGTCACCAATAAATATAAACCTTTTCTTATCTCGCTAATACTGTTACGCGCTGGGGTTCGGGAGAAATAAAATTCTATCGAATTACTAGTTACCACTGTATTCACGCTTCGAACACTTAAAACACTTCACAAACACTTTAAATATCTCAATTCGCTTCTTCCGCTTCGCTTCAGGTAATCCGTTCGCTGTTTCGCTTCCAGTAGTTCCGATTACTAACTGACTGCGTGGCACTAAATGGCATAAAAATAGTCGAGACGAAATCCCTAGAATCGTCGAGAATATTACACACATTTCTAGTATTGTGTTTCTGCTATCTGACAATAGATGGCGTTGTACTTTTCGCGCGTTCTAAATGTTACTAGATACTTCGGCATTCGTTCGACTGTTTGGCGATCGATGGCGTTACTCTTACCGGCGTAAAAATACTTTTAAGTATAAGCTAATTACTCTAAAATATGTTCGAAAATGTGACATAGAATCGTTTCAGTATTGGAATGAAAGCTTCACTTTATGTGTTTTTTTATAGAAGAAAGCACTCCGGTCCAACTTAGCGAAACGGACAACGAGAAGTTGGCGGACAGCGAATATCTACAAACGTTAATCGACAAAATACACATTCTGAAGAAGGAATTGATATCGGAGAACGACAAGCAGGGCTCGCCCATAGACCTCGCCGCCTTATTCCAAATCGAAGGGTTCGGTGACGTTCATCTCAAGTGCAGGGAGGATTACGAGAAGCTGCGTCAGGAGTTAGAGGAGCAGCGAGCACGTAGCTCCAGGGAGGGCGTCGAACTGCGACCCTCCTCGCCAGCTCTGCGCCACGACCTCGCGCTGCTCGCCGACCAGCTGCACACCTGCAAGCTGATGCTGGACGAGGAGAAGCAAGACAAAATCGACGCCCTGAGGATCTGCGAGGAGGTCTGTTGCTCCTCATTTATTTATCGCATCGTTTACTATCTTTTACTGCCTATTTCTGCCGCCGTGAAGCAGTAATTCAATTCGGTTTGAAAGGTGAGGCAGCCGTTGTATTGTTATAACCAGTGGTTATTGATTTTATATACTTGCGTCAAGATGTTAAGAAGGTACGAGAAATCACTAAACAAGCCAGGGTGAGATTATTATTTACACAACACAGGAATTTCACAAATTAGGAGCTCACTCTACGAACCGAGGTAAGCGTAACACCCAATGAGTTATACAGGATACTTGCTTCTGATTGGTCGTTGCGTGCCGTCGATGCGTTGTGAACATACATGAACATGAGATAAAGTAACAAAAAGCCCTGTCTAAGTATTGTCTTATACTGACAATTGTCATTTCTAATTCAACAGAAAGGGACTAAATACGGTGTAACTATTCCAAAGTGTTTTTGTATAAAATAAAATAATAAAATACTGATTTCTTTCACCATTAGCCAGCACTGGCAGCGTAAATTTTATTATTAATACGTTTTTCACCTTAAACACAGATTCATGCTAAATTCTAAATTCCAGAACAAATATCACAATAATTATTAAGTTCCGGTATTTCGGAGGCATATCCATATTATCCTCTACGTTTAACGTCAACGACCTTAAATCAATCTACCTACTCCGACCTCTAGTTATCTGAGACTTAGAGCGTATGTCTCTAAGTGGATGACGGCGTAGATGTCTATGGGCTCCGGTAACCACTTACCAGGTGGGCCGTAAGCTCGTTCACGTGAGCAATAAAAAAAATACCCGAAAATCTCACGGCACGTCCGTTGACTCATAAATATCGAATCATGAATATTTCCACCCGCTTTAAAATATGATTACAGTACGCATAAATGTTTGGTGTTTCTTCGCAGCAATATTTCGTATTATTCCGATGTTTACAGAAATTGAAAAACGAAGAGGAATACCACAGGGAGGTAACGACGGACCTCAAGAACAGGATCCACGTCCTCGAGAAGCAGGTCGCGACGCAGAGGGAGAGGTACGCCGCGCTGCTGGACGAGACGGACAGCTACATCCGCGGCAGGAACGAGCGGAAGGTCAGCAATGAGGAACACAACGTGTTTGCTGTGAGTATGACTTGCCGGTCGACGTGTGAGAATCTACTGTGACAGCACGACAATGTTTTTTTTAATACGCTTTTATTAGCCTTATGTTACGTATTAGTATGTGTGTTTGTAACGGAGTCTTTGAACATTATTTTGACCCCCTTCAAAACGTCGGATTAACTCGAAATTTGGTATATTTATTAAAGACCGATGACAATTCAACATTGACAAAAAATATGAAAAAAAATAAATTTAACTAAAAAAGGAAAAATAAGTAATAGTTTAAAAAAACTAACAAAATACGCTTTTATAGAAAATCCAACTAAAAAATAGAAAATAAATTTTAATAAATTTGAATTAAAAATAGTGTAAGAAAAAAATATTTTATTGTAAAAAAAGCGTGGGGTGCATGGTATCAGTAGTTGTAAATATTTTATGAACAGATATGGGTAGAAGGGTCATTTTGATAATATCCTAAAAAGCACCCCACGCCTTTATACAATAAAATCATTTTTCTTACACTATTTTTATTTCATATTTATTAAAAAAAAAATATCTGTGCCGGGGGCCAACCCTCTTACAAGGTCCCCGCACTTAGGGCCGCCAGGGGTATGTGGGACTTGACGATCTGCAGATGTTAAGAGCTAACCGCGGGCCCAAAGATATTTTTAGGGACCAAAAACAGCTCGACCATGTAACGCAACCGAACTTGTCTGAATTGTTTTGTATTGTGAGCTAAGTCTCTCTTCAGGATTAAAACTGTGATGATGGTGGTGGTGAATTTGGTATCTGTGAAAATGCATAAGCGCGGGAAAATAAAACGAAACCGCTGGACATGGCTTCTCGGGTCCTTCCAAAAAGCCCACTGAAGTCTCAGTAAACAACCATAATTTTACTAAGCTTTTATTTCATCTCATTTCAAATAATTTCATCACAAAATATGGTCACAATCTTAATTTTTTTATAGCTCTGGCAGGCTGACGAACATAAGACCTGATGGTGAGTGGCTAGCGTCGCTCATAGACAGCAATGCTATGGGCAGAGCCAAACTGCGGCTTGCCTTATTTTTTTTTATCAATAAATTAATATACAAAATAATTCATTAATAAATCAACTATCATTTCATTTCGCTTGATATAACTTTTCATATAACGCAATGCGTATTTAATAATTGAGGATTTTTGTAAACTCGGTCCTGGCAACAAATACATCGTAACAAGTAATTGCCATACTAAAAAAAAAAGAAGAAGAATTAAAAGCTTTTGGTACATTTACTGGTGGTAGGACCTCTTGTAGGTACCACCACCCTGCTTATTTCTGCCGTGAAGCAGTAATGCGTTTCGGTTTGAAGGGCGGGGCAGCCGTTGTAACTATACTTGAGACTATAAACTTATATCTCAAGGTGGGAGGCGCATTTACGTTGTAGGTGTCTATGGGCTCCAGTAACCGCTTAACACCAGGTGGGCTGTGAGCTCGTCCACCCATCTAAGCAATAAAAAAAAAACTTAAGTTATTTTTTTAGGACGTGTCGGCGCCTCCCCACATGCTGCATTACGCCCACGAGCTCGCCCGGAAGGACCAGGACATATCGCAGCTCAGGAAGGACAAGCATCTGCTCGAGGGGCAGTACAGGTGAGACACTCACAAGGATTAGCAAGAAAGTTACGCTCTAGGGCTTAGGATAAATTAAATTTCCACTGAAGTATAAAATCAAAAATTACACCTAAAACACTTAAGGTACACTTTTTTTAAGGGATTTTACGACCTGGTGATTAAGACCTTTAAGTCATGTCTTATTTATTTTAATATAGTATATTCTTATTTTTATGAAAAATTATAATATGGAGTGAAATGAAATGAAGATGATTAATTTAAGACATTAATCAACTGGGATGAAATAAAATGAAATAAGGTGAGATGATATGGGATGAAAATTAAATATAATATAATCTCAGTAAAATGGTGGTCATTTACTTAGATTTTTTTCAGTGGACTTGTTGGAGGATCCCGAGAAGTTGCGTCCACCGGCTTTGTTTCATTTTCCCACATTTGTGCATATTCACAGACATTAAACAGTTAATAAACCACCACTATTACACATTTAAACCTGAAGAAACACTAAATAGACAAAATAAAACAAATCACACAACTTCACTCCTCGCGTTCCCGCCAAAAAGTCCAAAGGTACACAATCAGTTTGCTGTTTCGCTTTGAGCAGAATCGATTACTAAATCTCTTTACGTTGTCTCTGTAATACTTTAATAGTCGATATATACGACATCCCTACAATTATCGAGAACGTTTCCGATAGTACTAGTCGCTTCGATATCAGCTTTCGCGCCACTTTGACAAGGCGGCACGACATGAGAACCCTCTTGTCGTGGCCGCTGGAAACTACATATCCGACTCTGTAGACCAAATGGTAAACAGTCGACGTCGCCCAAAGCACGTCATCCATTAACGGTGCTTTTAGGCACCACAAGCACCGGTCACAGTCCTCGTTGAACCCGTCCCTTGCGACGAAGGGCTCGACGAGCGAATTTAAACATAGACACAGCCCACGGAGTTTCTCGTCGGATTTTCTCAGTGGGTCGCGTTTCCGATCCGGTGGTAGATTCTGCGAAGCACTGCTCTTGTTGGAGCCAGTGTTAGCAACACTCCGGTTTGAGCCCCGTGAGCTCACCTACACACGTTAGGGCGAAGCTGAAATAGCCTCTCAAGCTTATCAGCATAGGTAGGGAAAAAAATATCAGTTTTCGCTACTTGATGGCAGATGGCGTTACTCGTGCCGCCATAACAATAATAATATGCAGGTCAGGTGACAGGAACACCGATGCCAGAATAGGAAGGACGTGGTACATGAGGTCGATGTTTCAAGTTGCTTAGTGAATTAACTTACATGTTAGACCTTGAAAGGGCACGTAATTCAGATGTAGACATAATATTATATAGTGCCATCGAGCTGGTGAGCAAAATAAAATAAAATAAATCTACTTTTCAGAGACTGCCAACGAGACGCGACCATAGAGAAAGAGCGCTTCAAAGAAGTCGTCAGAGCGCTGAAAGAGGAGATTGACAGGTAATATCAGATATTCTCCCTCGCATCAGCTCTGACACGTTTTTTTTTATTGCTTAGATGGGTGGACGAGCTCACAGCCCACCTGGTGTTAAATTGTTACCGGGGCCTATAGAAATCTACATCGTAAATGGCCTACCCACTTTGAAACATGAGTTCTAAGGTCTCAGTTTTAACAGTACAACGGTTGCCCCACCCTTCTAATCGAAACGCATTACTGCTTCACGGCAGAAATAGTTAGGGTGGTGGTACCTACCCGTGCGGACTCACAAGAGGTCCTACCACCAGTAATTACGCAAATTATAATTTTGCGGGTTTAATTTTTATTATACGATGTGATTCCTTCACCGTGGAAGTGAATCGCGAACGCTAAGTACGTATTTCATTAGAAAAATTGGTACCCACCTGCGGGATTCGAACATCGGTGCATCGCTACCTACGAATGCACCGGACGTCTTATCCTTTAGGCCACGACGACGACTCTCAACTCGACTCCAGCTCTCGGAGTAATAGGCAGCAATGTACTGCGACATTATCAACGCTAACCGCAAATTGCATTACTGATTCAATGCTGTATCATACGAATAAGGCCGAATCTACACTAAGCGTCACTAAAGAAGAAATAAACATGAGTTCTTGTCGCCAAACGCGGTGGTTCCTCTGATGTTAAGCGTTTACCGAATTGCATGCGCTTGTGATGTGCTTGAGACGTGAGGTCGCCAGTAACACAAGGCACGTAACGATCGCTAACTGTTAAAATTAATTTTCAGATTAAGAAGAACGCAATCCCGTGAAGGTGCAAATTTAGAATATTTGAAGAACGTTGTGCTCGCTTACTTGATGTCCACGGACTACGCCGGCAAGAGGCACATGCTAAACGCTATAGCCGCCGTGCTGCATTTCACTAACGCCGAACGTCACTCCGTGTTGTCTACTTTGTAGATTCGACTAACCACTTACGATCGGACGGGCCGTCACACTGAGTTCTTTAGAAGCGTCACTTTTTGAAGTGAAACTTCTTTATCGGCGTTGGAAAAAAATTTACCGTCACATTTTTCGGTTACGCGTCACATTTTTCCGTTACGCGCCATCTTTTTCTTGCCCCTACCACGGTTGGTTCAGACGAAGAGTACTTTCACTTTCTCCAACGGAGTAGGGATAGCATTAATGTTTCACTTCTTACGTGTGTACACTAGTACACGCACACATTTTTTTAAATGAACTTCGACAAACTTCGAGAAACTTCGACAAATTGAAATAATCCTTTGGGAATAGCCACCGACTTCGCGCGACCTACTCACGTGAGCCAAGTTGTCGTCCTAGTTGTGTATAAGAAAGACTCCACAATAATTCAAATTAGGATCGTCATCAGACAGCACCTATTTCTGCTGCGAAGCAGTAATGCGTGTCGGTTTGATGGGTACAAACGTCTAATACATTCGACGCTTGAAAGACAAACGTGACTAAGCGACAATGCGTGAACTTTACAGTAGACTAATTTAAAGTTTAAATACCTGAAAACAAAATTTATTTTAACGAATCCAGCTGTAGTAGAATGTAGCTAGTACCTGTAGGATTGAAATGATTTTAAAAGACCTAGAAATATATATTTTTTCCGCGTCGAATATGGTTATTGCCTATCATTTATGTACAAAGCAGTTATTGTCGCTTAGTCATGTTTGCCTTTCAAGCGTCGGTCACCGGTCAATTGGAGTTTCAGACCTCATATCTCGATAGGGGGCTGGGCTTTCACTAAACACCTCATGAGCCTTAAGCTATCTACGTTAAGCGTTCTGTAAAATCTAATAAATAATACAAACCACAAATAGTATTATATAGGTATCAGAATAATACATTTGAATTATACAACACTAGTGTCATGTAATTTATATGTATATGTGTGTATACAAAAAACTAGAACTATGATACAAGTATAATTTAAAAGGATAATAAGTGATTCATAATTGGGTGATGTGGTGTGCTACCGCAGCCTCACTCCGCTCCTAGGTGTCGCGAAGGGTCGCAGATTTCGCTTCCTATATACCACGGTACTGCGATCCTCACCCGGGTAATGCGACCCGACCCGGGTAATGCTATCACCTGCCGGGTAATGTGATTGCCACCCGGATAATGCGATCCCCAGCCGGGTAATGCGATCCCCACCCGGTAGTCTAGACTACACTATTGCCTTTATTTTAATTGAAAATAACTAGCAGTAGTGTTCACGGAAGATGCACACCGCGGGAGCGATCACTTTGTAGAATTGAGTGAGATTAATAAGTATTTCGTAAATCTTAAACACTATTTGATTAAAACGGATAGTAGTGGATAGTGCTGGGGTTGAACTTGAGTACCGTATTCATAGTTAACATTCCATTAAAACGGCTGTATAATATAAATTAAAAATAAATAAAATATTTTTTATTACCGTAGTGTGTTTTATTGTTTTAATTTAAGAATAAAAGCCGGTTTTGTTTGAGACTGAGTATCACCGACGCGCTGCCTCCCATTTCGTAATATGAACTTGCATAATTAATTAATGCTAGTGGTCGCCCAGCAGTCGAAATTCGACCATAATTATTAATTTACTGGTGGTAGGACCTCTTGTGAGTCCGCGCGGGTAGGTACCACCGCCCTGCCTATTTCTGCCGTGAAGCAGTAATGCGTTTCGGTTTGAAGGGTGGAGCAGCCGTTATAACTATACTGAGATCTTAGAACTTATATCTCAAGGTAGGTGGCGCATTTACACTGTAGATGTCCATGGGCTCCAGTAACCACTTAACACCAGGTGGGCTGTGAGCTAGACCACCCATCTAAGCAATAAATAAAAAAAATAAAAAAATTATAAGTTTGAAAATTATTATGGTTCTATCTTCAAAGACTTTATTATTTCTATAATCACAGATTTTGCCAACGCTACACTATAGACAAATGGTATTAAAGACAAACAAATCGACTCTTATTCATTAAAAACAAGTTCTTATTTGGAATTTTCAACTTGTGCTATACAGTAGGTATATCAACTTATGTGAATGACTAATATTTAAGCAGGTAATTAAATTGTTGTACTTTGAGTTACTGAAAATTACGTCTATTTGTAAATTTGACCAGAAAATGATGCCAAACTTACTCACTTAACCAACCGAAAAGTTTTTAAATTGGTGAGTATTTTGTATCAATAGGAAAAAAAAAAACTGAAAATGGAATTTTTAAGGTAGTCTTATCTTAGGTACTTGTTGTCTAAAACAGTTTGGGAAGCCCTTATTTACTCAAACAAAAAATTGGGACTGGATGAACAAATTAAAAAATATATATTCATGATTTATAGGTTATCCTTGGCAGGGGTGCACGTGATAGCTTCGTGATAGAAACTATGGTATTTCCTCCACACCTGTCACTGTCACCAATCAGACCTACCGTCCTAGAGTACTTTATTATATCAGACTAAAATAATAAGTATCAGGGCCTAAAGCATAACGCGCTGTGTACACATATTTAGCGACGCGACCTCTACCATGTTTCCGGTCTCTCCCACACAATTATCAGATAGACAAGAATCGTGTTAAGGAAATAAATTAACAGCAGTATATTTAAAGATTTAAAAAAATATGTACACGTGTATTAATATAATATTATTTTATAATATAATATTAATAATATAATGATAGACTATTTTACACATAAGAATAATATAATGCGATTGAGATCATTGAGGCTTGGTATTTCTTAGCATTTTTATTATCATGTTCGTGGGTTCCAGTAACCACTTATCACCAGATGGGACAACCTTTTTCTTACTCGTCTTTGTAATAAATAAATGGTTGTCCACACACTTCACTTCGCTCAAAAAATTACGTGATTCAGAAACTTCAAATTGTTTTTTTTATTTATTTAATTAGTTTTAGCAAGAAAATGCTTTCCAATTCACAGAATCAGTGAATTGTCAAGAAGGTATATGATAAATGTCGCTCTGATTATAGGTACCGACGACAGTCACAGTTGGCAACATCTTGAAATTTAAAAATAACGATAATTGAATAATATTAATACTTTTCAGTCGAGCAGTTTTGTCAGAGTGGTCTTGGTGGCGCTGATGATGTACAGGCAGACATATCCGTTAGGTCCTCAATGGTTTCAAGGATTGGCCTTCAGGCGTTGTGCTTCCAGATCTGGCGGTCCAAAGCGCTTGGACCATTATTGGACCATTGTCGCCTCCGTTGCTTTCTTTATTAGATCAGTCCAGCGGGGTGATGATCAGCTACGTGATCTCTTGCCTTGAATAATAATACAATCGTTTGTGTCGTCGTGGCCTAAAGGATAAGACGTCCGGTGCATTCGTATTGAGCGATGCACCGATGTTCGAATCCCAGGCGGGTACCAATTTTTCTAATGAAATACGTACTTAACAAATGTTCACTATTTACTTCCAGGGTGAAGGAATAACATAGTGTAATAAAAATGAAACCCGCAAAATTATAATTTGCGTAATTACTGGTGGTAGGACCTCTTGTGAGTCCGCGCGGGTAGGTACCACCGCCTTGCCTATTTCTGCCGTGATGCGTTTCGGTCTGAAGGGTAGGGCAGCCGTTGTAACTATACTGAGATCTTAGAACTTATATAATTTACGTTGTAGATGTCTATGGGCTCTAGTAACCACCTAACACCAGGTGAACTGTGAGCTCGTCCACCCATCTAAGCAATAAAAAAATCAACAATTATAAAATTCACAATTACAAAATTTTAATTAATTAACAAAATAAATAAATCAAATCTAAAGTATAATCATTACAATGAATCCTATATTCTTTAAAGGAGGCTTCAAGCTATTTCAAACTTAATTTAATCTAAAGGTATCGCTAGACGCTATTGTTGAGACACCAAACCGCTTACAGACACTCGAGACAGCGAATGCCTCATCCATCATTGTTGTTTGAGGATGACATTAAAGTAGAGTGACAATGAGGTGATAATACGGTGAGACAATTCAACCGTTTTCAGAAGAAGCACTTCGCACTGTCATTAATAGTTTTGAAGGTACACATGATTTTACAATGACACTTAAAATAAATAATAAATGTTTTTGTTTAATGAGAACAGTCATTTGTCATGATAATATATTAAATTAAGCAACGTATGATTAAAGATACCTTATCTAAAATAATTTAGTTCCTGATTGGGTTGTCCCGATACATTTCTGGTCTTGAGCCTGAGATTTGATGATTTGGTTTCGCATTACTTACATTACAAAAATTTTTTTCTTAAACAACTTTATTTTTCATTCTGACTTGTACACAATAAGCCATACCGGTTTTAAGAAACAAACAAATTGCCCTTCAAACGAGGTTTCCGGAAAGTACTCAAGGGTAGGCAGCGGCTTGACTCTGCCCCTGACATTGTTCACGTTCATGAGCAATGGTAATTACTCACCTGTTCTCATCTGCCTACGTAAAGGCAATAAATTGCAAGAAAACCTTTAAAACCGTCTTATATTCCATGAATTCCTTGTGAGTGTTTAGTTTGAAGCTACCAACAGAAGTTAGCAACTTAAAATCAACAGTACGTACCTTACCAAATAAGGATTGATTTAAAATCATTCACAAATCATGGTTCCTTCACAGCGGCACCACGCGGCTACACGCGGCTACGCGCGGTGGTAGCTCTTTTGTTTACAAACACGCTAACTTATGGATTTTGTGACATGATAATTAATAGACATGGCACTTGATGGAGACTTTGTGTTAATTACATGTTTGCACTTCGGCTGGAATACCGAATAAACTGGATCTGTTCATTACGTTTTGAAGACTAATTTTGAAGGAATAGTTGGGAGAAGGTTCTTGATAAGGATTTTGAACATAAATCTTTCTCAGTAGGTATCTCATTGCGGGCATACTACGTGATGTTTCAAGTTATTCTCTTCTATGCTATGAAAAATAATAACAGTTCGTCTCATAGATTCTTTTGGGCAGCCCTTTGAATGGTCCAGTATCTGGTCTTCATAGCCATTTACTTTGTTTGA